CATCCCTTGTGTGAAACGGGATACTGCTAGCATCGTCCTGCGCGTTCGATAATTTAGTTAATATATACTACTTAATTTTTAATAATGATAGCTTTGATAGTTTAATAATTTCTAAAGAAGCAGTTTGAAAATCTGAAAGGTTTCTCAAAAGCACCATTTTTTTTAACAAATTTGATATAAAAACGGAAACAAACAGGGAAGCAAAGATGCGATGTGGAAAAACGAAGACAGCGTTGATGGACACTCAAGGATTTGGTAATACAGATTTCTGTGGAAAAGCTGTCATTGCTTTTTTAAAGTATTTGGTTTTTTCTGAACAGAAATGCTAAAGTTATTTTCAATACCCTTTATGGAATTTCTGTCACACAACTACTGCAAAATGATTTCGTACCCGCAGAGTTTAGATTTCTTAGTGTTTTCTTTTTGTTCTGCTATTTGTTGGCTCGCTCCTACACCCTACTAGTTCTATTAAAATCAAACTTTGAAGTATTGACAAGTAAATCAGCTACATCTTTTGTCGTACAAATAGGGTGGTTCATTCTGTTATACTGTATGCATAAACTAAACTCTCCGTCTCTCTAAGGCCTAAAATTTCGTATCTTGTCGTGGAGGATAAAATACTAGTCTTTTAAATTGGTGGGCACCCTGGAAGCACTGTATGAGCCAAGTATGAATTTGACGATTTGTACGATGATTGTTGAGCAACGTTGTGGAGCTATGAATGCGTCGTTTTCTTGTTCAGCAATCACGAGGTTTTTAAACAGCAAAAAATAGAGAAAGTTATCAACCATATGCGACTATGATCAGCTGTTCTAAACTTCCTCATTAGAAGTCACGTAAAAAGCGGCTCTGAAGAAGGCGATACTGCCGAAACGTCAGCTAGTGTTGTATCGTATTGTGTTTTTCTATGGAAGTAAATGTATGCTGTTTAAAAACCTCGCGATTGCTGAACAAGAAAACGACACATTCATATTCCAATGCCGAGGTTAATAGAAAGTCGGTCCTGGGAACTTTAATGGAGCTACTTATATCTGTCAGTGTCTGTCTTGCACTAGCGTACCTCGGTACCTTCGAACTGTTTAGTGCCTCATCGTGGCTGAGAAGTGTTCCTGGGTGTGGGGCTGCGATGTACAGCGGCCAGCGGCGAGATTTATCCCACCGGCATGGCCTCCCATGCTGAGAAAGAGTACGACGTTTCCGTCAGGAAGTCTAGCTAAGAAGAAGCCAATACCAGGATCCGTCACTGCCCTGGTACCAAACTAGTCGTGTGGTGGCAAACTCAAACCCCCCCTCTTATCCACAAGGACGGGGAATGCCTGTGGTGATGACGATCTGGGGCAGACTTTGGCCTAGCTGGCCTCGGGGCTTTAGGGAAGGACATTGGCTAAACAAAACGTCGAAAAAATGGAGATTGCGCTAGTTCCCGCACAACCAGTAAGGACAGGACTGTGCAGGTGTCCAAGTAAGTAAGTAAGATGTTAGGAATGAAGTCAGTTGCGTGACGCAGTCTCTCATTAATTGATCAGCGTCATCTTTATCACCTGTAATCTCAATAGTAGTCGGGTCGCTCGAGCGGATACCTGTTAAAACTCCATTTGTCTCCGTTGTGTGCCAGTGTACATCAATTCTTCGAACGTCACAAAAATCATCTCAATTTTGGTATTCTCCAGCGTTTTTGTGATGAGGATACCACATGATGTTCGTCTGGCACTGCAGTGGTGTGCGTTTGCTGCGTGTTGAGGTATTGTCGAGTCAATTCTCAGTTGGGTAAATAGCCTCCCGATAGATAACTTAGTTCGACACAAGATGGCAAAATCTCGTATAGGCCACATATGGCTCACATTAGTATCATTTTTCTGAATGATTAAGTCATTTCTACGACTCAGTAAGATCCTCGTTTAGGTCTACGAGACGACACCAGACGAAAAAGTAGAGCTGCATAATATCTGTGTGTCCCAACTTTGATCCCGTATCTGATCGTAGTCAAAATTTTCGTTATAAATCGTCTCAATTGTCATCGTGTGCTCACCAAAGTCAGAGTGACGTGTAGTTTGACTAATTATTGATCTATTGATTTCTTGCTATCTGCTCATTAACTGTCGGTCAAGTTATCACACTTTTTCTGACTTCATTTTTATTGATCTTGTCCAAATTGGACCATCAGATTTTTAATGGGCATTTTTTCTTAAGTGAAAATGAAGCATTTTAGTGATTAAATGCAGAAGAATTATATGAATACGGGTTAATCAGAATGATTATTTGTATGTTGATATGTCATTGTTTACTATTGCAATTGAATTGTATCTTGTACGATTCGATAAATTTTTATCAATACGTCATGTCCGTCAATTTAAGGACGTCGTTGACTAATTTGCTGAAGTGGTTTGTCTCTACGAATTGTACAACCCTCAGCACCATTCCTGACTAGCACCATTCCTGACTAGATTGGGCAGGGCGATTCTTTTCCTGGATTCCCCTAGTCTGAAATTCCAAGGCGTTTCCACGTAACCATAGGTAGTTTTAAACACTTGGTCAAAAGGATGCCTGTAACCATTTAAGAACGAGAAAATCTGCCCATAGGTTTCTTCGGCAGTCTCCATAATCTTTGATCACTTGTATATGTTTATTTTCATTTCGTATGAAAATGCTAATATGTTATTTTACATTGGCACTTAAATTATCCGTCTTTACTTGTCGTGCGTATTCTAGCACCTTTTTCATTCGCTCATTCTCTCGCAAACGCCATTGATAGAGGTGATGGAGCTCATTTGCGGGGTTTCGCCTCGAACAGGAACCTTTGTAATCCTTAACCATTAACACAATAGTAGAGCCTGATTTACTCCGGGAACCGGAGATAGCAGGTTTGGCATGTTCCCGGTTCGTTGTTACATGCAGTCGTTGGCTTTTATGGATTAGATGAAAATTTGTGTTAATTTAGGAGACCTGTATTATATCACGGGGTGAGCGTAACGTTAAAGATGCTATGCCACAATAGGCACATGATCCATGGTTTGCCATGACCCCAAGCAAAGCACCTCTCTAGTCCCTATATGGTTGCTGGTTCTAGACTTGTTTGGGGTGATAAAAAAATTGACATAATAGATCGGTAGGTCATCGTCACAAGTCGCTATATAGGCAATTATGCACTTTACTAGTCTTACTACGTTACGAATGGAATCAAATGCATGTGGCACTTGTCAGGGATTGATCAACGCCGAACGCCTCATCTTTTATTCTTTATGCCATTCCGAAATTTCACAAAATTTCTCCATATCATCAACCGTTTCTGTGGGCCTTCATCAATAAGCACTATCCCGATAGTCCTTTCATTCTATCATAAAGATTGCTCTGCAACTTCATTTCTCTAGGAAGCAGAGTGAGGGAAGATGACCATCAAAGGCTGCCATACATTGCTGCATGACTAACACCACTTATTCATCTCTATAATGTCTACTGCATTTCGTGTCGCTTTCACATTCTGAGTGTTTCCTTATTTTTCAATTTTTGCTAGCATTTTTATTGTATGCTTTGTCTTTCCGTTGAACTCTATGTCACTCGTATCCGGTGTTTTCTCCTTCGGTTGAACTTCGATTCACAAATTCTCAAAGCACAGATTTACAATGTCACAGAGTTAGAAGAGCTTCTCTTGTGGCTTGTTTTCACTTTTTATTAGCATATCGATTTTCATAATATTGAATTCCACCTAACGTTCTCTTATATCGTGAGGACTGGAAGGCTAGTTTTATCTATCCACTCTTTGGTCAGCTGTAGTTTCTTTCTATTTGATGAAGCTAATTTTCTTCTTTACGGATTTTTCTGTCAAGAGCATGCATGAGTGGCTTACGTTTAGCTGATATTACTCTAAATAACTTGTAGTGAACAGGTACAAACTTTCCATGACACTGTTGTGTGGTGTTTCGAAGGGCATAAATACCGTACTGCAAAAGTCTCCTTAACCGCATAGTATTCGGTATCATCATACACTAGAATTTTCTTTTACGTGACCCATATTGAGCGAACATTTCCTCGTCTCCTGCATCTACGAAGCTCTTCGAATTCTGTGTTTTGGCTCGGTTCCAACTTGAAGATTTCTCGGTCTTCTCTGTGAATGTCATTGAATGCTAATCGAGTTGACTCTTTCGTAGAAATTTTGAATAGCCGGTCTAGGACGTAATCAATCTTTGTGGATGACAGGAAAATTTAAAGGCAAATAGTGTTAACCGATGACTCGAGAAGGGTGAGAGACTCGGTTGAAGCGGTACGGAGGCTAACCAGGACCATGTGCTTATCATTGAACTACACCTTTACCACAGCGTTATTCGAATCCGCGCAGTATCATTTACATTGCCCAAGGAATGTAAGAGTGAAGGAAATTCTGAAATCGTCGATTCTTAGGTCCTCTAAAGAACTCGTGAAAACGTTCAACAGAAGGCACAAAAATGTTTACACATATTGAAGTAAAATGTAGACTTTGAAGTTAACTGACCAATAGAATATGGTGTAAAATCAATGTTATCATAAGAAATCTATACACTTGAAATATCACACCGAAATAATTCATTGAAAATATTAGTTACTTAACAAATTTCTTCAGTCTTGTACAGTACATCGCAGAAAGGCCCGGTATTCGTTGTTTCGCTTGGTAGCCCAGAATCGAAAAACTCGACAACCATTATAGGATCATTTTTTACATTTCCAGAATGCATACATTATATACAACTAAACCAGATCGAATTTAGAGCCATATAAATGCTATTGACGCTTGAAATACTTTGAAAGCTTGTACATTTGTACCCCGCATTGAGTTACGAGACTGAGTATCGACATTTCACCGAAATTGAAAGAATCAAATAGGTTGCTGAACAAGATCAGAGACAATTTGATAGCTCTAAGAGAGAGGGAGAGAGAGAGAAGGAAAGAGAGATGGAAGGAGGAACAAAGCGGAAGGGGGAGATGAGGGAGAGGAAAGGACAGAGAAAGGAAATAAGGCAAGACATCGATTACAGTCTGATTCCTGAGTGATGGCACTGCATCATTTCTCCGATAGCGTTACCACATACGATATGCTGTAAGCCTAAGACACCGAGCTGATGAGATGACCGACAGAACTGCTCGCATTGAGGACCGCTGTAACTTTGGAACGTACAACTATCGAGAATTTGCAGTATACAAAATAGTACCTCGATAAATTAAAAGCCAGACCATCGAAATATCAATTAAATCGAAACGTTCTCACGTTTTGGCGATGATGCCCTTGTGTCTACAGCATTCTGTGTTGTCGTGGCCCTGTGAAGCGCATTCGAGGTATGGCGCGACGCTGAACAGCCCGCAGAGACCGCGATCAATCACCGAGCGAACCTTCAAATTTCTGGAGTGCTGTAGACGACGTTATACGGTAGGGCATGGTTTTTTTTCGAGCTTTAAAAACGTACTGCATAGTAAATTCATTGCTCTACAGTCCCTCGTGGTTCGCTGTGGTTTTGCCTAATTTTTTATAGACGATTTTAAGGGCAAACTTCGCGCTAACTTTCCGCTTTAATCTTTTCTTAAAGGCATGGCAGGGCCGTTGTTTAAGATACCGAGCAATGATGCGCCTGCTACTGCTGGTTTGACATCGCTTCGCTCTGTCCAAGGATCCCATCCCTCCTGAGTAAGTAAACTGGTACTAGCCTTATTTGGGAGGTACACTGCATTCTGTAATGCAAAGCCAGTACCACTTGCGGTGGTGAAGGCCTAGACATGCTCAAGGAGGGTTAATCTAGTGTTCCAGGAAAATCAACGTCGACAAGCATTTGGATAGCAGCCATAAGGAAGATGACAATTGGCACCGGAACCAATACGAGATTATGAAGACCACAGTGAATGACGGATGCAGGACAATAAAACGAATGAAGACATCTCGGATCTGCGGAATATATTATGTTAAGTCGTATAAAACGGTATGATCCCACTACAGCTATTAGACCACTAAAGTTTAACCAAGAAGTTATAGAGCTTAGCAAATTAGTGTCACTTGAATTGTGCACAAATCATAAAGATGGTGACGATTCGTTTAAGAACTTTCATTTGCGGGAGAAAATGAATTCGGTATAACAGCGAAAAACTTTCTGCACTAGGTTGAGAAGCCAAGGAGAACAAGCAGATTTGTATCAGAGGAATGTTATGATTCCCAGCCTATGTCGATGAAGTCATTCACTATAAATTTTAGGATTCTGACGAATTTCTGAACGCAAAAAAGTCCTATCAAGGTTCGAAAAATTGGGCCAGTAACTGCAAAGCAGACAATAGGCATTGATCGGTCACAAGAGCTAATTGTTTCGACAAGTCTTCATGCTGCAGTTATGGTCTAAGTTGAACGAGATTTTGTTCGAAGCCCGGTGTCTTCCTTCGTGCTAATGAGGTTCATTAGCAATGCGTCAAAACTTCTTCAAACAATAAACGCATTTCTTTGTTGACAAATATTAATCAATCAGAAAACAGGCGAAAGTGTTTTCAAATTCCGAGATTCATATTTTTATGCAGTTTAACTGGTTTGAAGTTTAACTAGCAACAATTCTGTCACTGAAGCCAAAGGCGATTTCGAAAACGATTTTAGCCACTAGAACTTTCTCCACACAAATCGAGCTCTTCACGCCAAGTAAGATGAGCGGTGAGAAAACTACTGAATTTTCACGTTTTTCTTTTTATCGTGTCACATTTCAACAGGAATTCATCGTAAAGCATGACGAGAGCATCGTGTTGATGAATTACGTGAGCAAAACGCTCAGGGAAAAAGAAATAGTTTTTTCTAAAAACTGGTAGTTTAGAGTCTAACAAGTGCTCAAGTGCCTCTAAATGATCGCTTAAGCTGGTGGAACCCTTATCCTAAAGACGACCCTTCAAAGCCGGTAAAGCATATTAATTAAATGGTCCAAGAACAGATCTGCGATGGATAAGAATATGGATGAAGCATGGTTTTCAAACCCACCGTCATTTAACCTCGGTGTGAATCATCAATGTACCTTATCTCATTGATAGGGTCACACGAAGCTGTTACTAAATGTTTATTTGGCTGATGTTTTGACGTCTTCGCCTTCCTCAGAGCTAGATTTTGTTATCTAGCTTTCCAGTTTCGGATCATGTTTAGTAAGAACCGAATACATGTTTAGTAAGAACTTCGTGTTGGCTTATCAATGAAACAAGGTACACTGAGGTTAAATCTTTCAGCAGTAATCAATCCCTGAAGAATAGATCTAGCATATTCGTAGAATCGTTTAGTGGAGTACAAGTGCAACTGACAATGGCTTGCGGTGGCGTACCCATCTATCAAAAACAGTGCTTTTATCCTCTTAGACATTTGCATTCTACATTTTACATGACTTATCATCCATCTACTGTGCCGATCCCAGCGTTTCTTCCATTACATTCGCTTTCCTCTCATTCACTGTCCACAAAAGTCTTCGAAAATTTTTCTTTTTGTTCCAGCTACTGCTTGAGGATTTCGTCTTTTTTATGAATGTCGTAGAAAGGTGGTCAAGTTGACTCACCTTTGCAATGCAGGCTAAGGTGTTCCAACATGGACTGAAGGAGAGTGGTAGGGACGAATACGAACTAGTGCCTTTGCATCATCATCGTCGGCATCATTAACCAACCCGACACCTTTCCCTCCTCCCAATACAGATATAATTTTCCGGCTCCCGAGGAATGGAACGGTTGCACAAGCTGGGGTGCAGAATCGAACCAAAGACCGGTTCAATGTCTACTGTATGGCATCTCTAACCAAAGCGCTGTGTGTGCCTATTCTGTGGTGAACAAACTAAAGTTCTTCTGGAACGCCTTTCTTAACAGAGAAAAAGAACAATTCGGAAAAAATTGCAAAACCGCCATGTCGAACCGCTGCTCATACATCAGTTAATCCAAATACAAAACGTTACGTGAACAGTGTAGAAAAACCTTTCAACATTGTTCTTTGCCCTTTTATTTACTGCCTTTTTTTAATGGCAGAGTAGGTTGCGAAATATAACTCGCATATAGTGCTGAGATATTTGCAGAACTCCGGACCGCAGGTGTATGCGGTGGGGAACGAACAGGTCCTTCGCTGTGATTGTCTGGATGGTGTGGTGGTGAAGTGCGCTACTCCCCGGTAAGGACAATAGCGCGCGTTCGTTCCTCACCGCATACACCTGCGATCCGGAGTTTTGTAAATATCTCAGCACTATATACGAGTTATATTTGTTCTTTGCTTTTAACTTCGTCGACGTCTTTTTCTTCATAGTAAACAAAAGACGTGGTGTTGGGGAATTCAACTCTCGTCTTCAGTCAATAGGCCTACCAAAGTTTTGTTGAAGTAACGCAGCGGTTGCCTTACCAACACTTCGAGAAGTAAATTCGTGTCCTCTCGTGTAAAGCGCATGAGGCTACCATCAGTTTGAGATAGATGAGCGCATGACACTTCCAAGGAGTAATGATGCCGTCTAGTTGGCTCCGACAATTCGTGGGTACTCACACCTTTCTAGTCAGCGTCACTGTTTGGCACCAGCGGGAGGGTATCGGCTTTCACATCCACCCGTTTTAAGACTATAGTAACCATGAGAGTAATAGTGGTAGCCGATGAGTCAACAGTGAGTCCTTCGCGATCTCTATTCAAAAAAACCCTCCAATTTTGTTTCCCCGGAAGTTTCAAATGGGTTTGACGAGTTTGCAAAGGAAGCAGATTCTTGAAGGGAATGAATTCATCGTCTAGAAAGAAAAAAGTTGGATAACAATAAAGACTAACCTCAGCTTGCGAGATATCATAGCGACAAAGCGACAAACAGCCATGGGGCAAATTCTTTCGCTGGCAGCACTCCAGTAAAGCTAAAAACCAATGATGGCTTTTTAAAGACAAAATAGTTCTGCATTCTTTTCGAAAACTTATAAAAAAACAACAAATGGTGAACTTTAATATTATACTATACTTTAATATACTTTAATATTTCAATTCATTTTTTATATTTTTTGTTTCTAAAACGAAAATTCAAGTCAGAAGTTGAGTGTTCTTTAATGATATTGATACAACTGAATAATAGACTGTTGGGCCTCAAGCTGCTGAATTATACTAAATCCCCGACTTTCTTTGACTTTCTACTTCATGAATTTATATCAACACATAACTTCAATGTTGCTGAGATATTTGACAAGACTCGGACAGCAGGTGTCTGCCGCGAGGAACGAACGAGCTATTGTCCTTTCCGGGTAGTAACGCGTTCACCACCACACCATGCGGGTCCTTCGTTTCTCCTGTCTCTCAGCTGGTTCTATCGATCACTTGCCATCAGCAATCATCCGTTCGAACGAAAGACCACTATGGTGTGGTGGTGAACGCGTTGCTCCTCGGAAAGTACAATAGTGCGTTCGTTCACCACCGCAGACACCTGCGGTCCGGAGTATTGCAAATGTCTCAACATCACTGCAGTTATATTTCGCAATATACCCTGCCATTACAAAAGAGTAGGCAGTAAATAAAACGTTTAAGATTATACAACCACAATGTTGCTGAGATATTTGCAAAACTCTGGACCGCAGGTGTCTATGGTGGGGAACGAACGCGCTATTATCCTTTCCGGGGAGTAACGCGTTCACCACCACACCATGCGGGTCCTTTGTTTCGCACGTCTCTCAGCTATTTCTATCGATCTTTTTTGCCACAGCAATCACCCGTCAGCGGGGTTGATCTGGGGAGCGCAAATCGGCATAGAACCCAGTTAAGCTATGGCTGTAGTTGAAATCACAATGTTTTAACGTTTTGTTTTCTGCCTTCTATAATTTTCATGGCAGGTTACTAAGCGAAATACAACCACAATGTTGCTGAGATATTTGCAAAACTCTAGACCGCAGGTGTCTATGGTGGGGAACGAACGCGCTATTATCCTTTCCGGGGAGTAACGCGTTCACCACCACACCATGCGGGTCCTTTGTTTCGCACGTCTCTCAGCTATTTCTATCGATCTTTTTTGCCACAGCAATCACCCGTCAGCGGGGTTGATCTGGGGAGCGCAAATCGGCATAGAACCCAGTTAAGCTATGGCTGTAGTTGAAATCACAATGTTTTAACGTTTTGTTTTATAGCTGAGAGACGTGCGAAACAAAGGACCCGCATGGTGTGGTGGTGAACGCGTTACTTCCCGGAAAGGATAATAGCGCGTTCGTTCCCCACCATAGACACCTGCGGTCCAGAGTTTTGCAAATATCTCAGCAACATTGTGGTTGTATTTCGCTTAGTAACCTGCCATGAAAATTATAGAAGGCAGAAAACAAAACGTTAAAACATTGTTTAAGATTATATCAACACATTTAAATCATGTTAGATAAAACATCTCTACGTTTTCCACGTTTCAGTTTTTTGACAAAAGCAAAGATGTAGAATTGGAAGCTTCTGGTCACTTCGTTGTGTAAATGTAATGAAACCTTTACAAAAAGCGATTTAGTTCCTTCTATCACTTATAATAACCCATAAGAAGTCATTCAATCAAGACCGGAGCACTTCTTCAAGTATTGATGTAGGTCACAAGTATAACATCTTGTCCAGTCTACCCCTTTTTATCCGTGTCAAGCTTTCGAGCACTTTTAATGAAGTACCGTAATGCGTACCATGACTGGCTTGTTCGGCGCTGACACAAGGCTTGAAATTCGGAGCCACACCGCACTGCTGTTCGACGACCGGCACTGTTACGGTGAACGATTGTAGTTGAAGATTTGGCCGAGGTTTTGGTGTTGTTTCGTTGATGAACACCAAAGAACGTTCAGAAGAGATCTGATGGGACGATATTTGTTGAGAAAGACCACGATTCGCAGATGGTTTCAGTGCAGGTGAAAACGGTCGTAAAGCTTAAATAACAATAGAAGACGAAATGTCAAATATCACTTTAGCATTGTTCTAAACATTTTTCAGAGATGTAGGTGGAAATGTGAGTAAAAGTTACAGCAAGATTTAGGTAAACTTAATAGAAGGCTGTTTTCATTAATGCTTAGGTTCTCTTGCTGGCTTTTCACAAACTGCTGTTGGTTTTTCGAAAAAGAAAACACTCGAGGCGTTCATACGCTGGTTGGCCCTATAGAGCTTTAGTCCACCTAACGCTTTAGTTCTTTTAAACTTTCGTCTGATCTTTGGTGCTCTCTAGAATAAAAATGCTTGCTAGAAGTAAAGATGAAATTAAATTATTAAATTTGCAAACGTTGCCCAGACGGTGAAAAACATCAACGACGCAATTGGGAAAATTATCGAGTTCTAGTGGACGAAAGAAACATTAATTGTTCCTTTCGATACGCGTCCCGGGACGAAAAAAAAGCACACAAAATGTGTTAGGTGGACCCCAAAAAAATCAGCATTTTATCACAGTAAAAAACAAAACCTTTTGTTGTGAGGAGAAAGATTTGTAGATCCTGATATTTCTTATTGGACCTAGCAAAATTGGCTTCGATCTTATATACGTTGTATTAAAGCTGAAAGCGGTGGTATTCTCCCAATGTATGAGAGTATAAATGAATTCACACCGGTCTCTAAATATTAAAGTTTTTCTATGGACGAATTCTGTTTGAAGTAACCACTGATCCAATAATTCTTTGTAGTCTTGTTACCCGAGCATGAGGTGTTACTTTATTCTCCATTTGTGGAACAGCTGAAGTTTTAGCGGATTTCGTCTTTTTCAGAACATGGAAAGGTCAACTTGACTCTAGGGAAGGTGAAATCCGCCGAAATGTCAGCTTTTCCGCAAATGAAGATTAAAGTAGGCACTCGTTGCTTGCTCAACAAGAGTATAAAGAGTTTTCATGAAGTTTTTAACTAACTTACGTTTCATACGAAATCGAAGCGGCGCTAGCGTGGTTCGAGATTGAGCGAAAAACTGGAATACAAATTGTTACTAATGAAAAAATTATCCAATAAAGGTTAGGTTTACATACCTCAATATTTAATGGATCTGTGAAACCAAATTGGCCATGGAAATTTGACGGTCCGACGGAAAATCCTCTAATGAGTGGGAAAGAATCTAAAAACGTAAATGAATCTACGAATGAGCAGGTCTTGCTATGCTGTATTTCTCATTCAGCAATTGTTTCCGTTTCTTATCTACTTGTTATTTCAACGTAGTGTCAAAGCAAACGTTGAAAAAAAAATCTTAACATGTTAGACGTTTAACATACATCGACCGAAGCTGGTTTTTTGACAATTCAATACAATTTTGTTCGTATTTTTTGAGCAAACGCGAGGTGTTATAACACCTCGCGTTTGCTCAAAAAATACGAACAAAATCACTTGATCAATGCCGAGGTTAATAGAAAGTCGGTCGTGGCAGTCAATACAATTTCTTAATTACTAGAACATCTCAAGAGTTGAAAACTTAAAAACTTCTAGAAGAGACTTTTCTCTATCGTCTTAATCTGGCATATATGCGTATGTAAAGACGCATGTGGTGAAGTGGTTAGAGGCGCCACTGCGACACACACGAGGAATCGATCCTCCGCGCCCATGTCCCACCAAGCCTTCCATCCCTCGTGGTCGGCAAATTAGTACCAGATTTGTTTGGGAGAATAGCGGTACTGGCTCGATACATCGGCAGGCCACCGCGAGTCGTTGTAAGGGTCATATATACATTCAATCACCTTCAATGATACTTAATGAAGACGGATGCATGGCGCATCCCTCAGTGAATGATCAACGTCGAGAGCTTTATCCTTCTATTTAGCTTTATATATATTGTACAATGTTACAGTCTTTTAGCTTTTAGTATGGTTAAAATTTAGAGTTTCAAAAATTAAAGAGAAGATTTAAATTTTCAGAGGCTCTAGCGGCGGAGGAGGTGCCGCAGACACAGACCTTCGAACATTTATGTGCAGCTATACAAAGTTCCGCTCCTTCATCAGATTTCGACTTTGAGATGTGAACCTTGACTTGAAAAAGTGGACGTGACGCAGGAAAATGAAAAAATATTTGTCTTAGAACTTTGCGATAAACTGATACCAGAATTTTTCGGGAGGATAAAAACAGTGAGATCGGTAGGCCCCGGTAGATCTCGTCTGGTATGGCCGAAATATGCATTAAGTAACCTCCACATTGCTACGAATGGAGTCGAATGCATAATAAATCGCCAGTGGATTGATGACCGCCAAACGCTTTAGTCTTTATGTCGTTTAAAAAGTTTTTATATGTGTATTCACCTTTGTTATCGGTGCTGACACCTGTTGAAGCACTACCATCAACGACGAATCTCGGAAACGTTTCAACAGTATCTGGCCAGCTGACGACTTTCCGTGACGGTAAAGTCTTCGCGTTCCAGCCTTTAGATGGTCTACAATAATTTTTTCTAATGAAAATATGTAAGAGGACTTGTCAGAAAAATTTTTTGCTATCTAAAGTTTATTCTGAGATAAGAAAATCACGGCAGTATGTTTGAAGTGCACTAAATCTTAACAAAACTAAATGCCGACCGCATTCCTTCCAAAAAACGGCTCCACTCTAAGTTAAGAAGGTTGTCGCAGCAAACTTTTTTCAAAAAATCCGCGGATTTTCTATCTATTTTCTTGTACGCAACTATGGTGATTTGGTTATGGTGCAGAGATATTGGCGATGAAGCAGCAAGTTAAGATACGGTAGCAGTGATTGTGATCATTCAGTGAGTGGTTATAAATAAGCGTACAATATGCAATCATACTGACTGCATAGAAGCGCGTGTATAGCAAAAGGAAAGGACGGAGTGCAAAACATGCATGATTGCTGCTTAGATCTCACCCATTGGCCTAACCAAGACCTCAGGCAAATTCTTACCAGACTCGTCATGATGCTTAAAAGCACTCTACTGATGATTCGGAGCACTGCCACGAACCATTGTAGAGGCAAAATATACTTTCGATCACGTCTGGATTCCACATATGGAGTTGAATGCATTGTGAGTTTCGTGTTGCCTGATCTCATAGTTTTAACTATAAACTTTACCTGCTTTGTCGACTAAAACTACTTAATGTTTTCCAGAACTACCGCGGTATACCAGCGTCTTAATATCTCCATAAAAAACTATAGCCGGATGGGAAATGCTCAACAGTTGTTTGACTACAGTATCTCAGAAAACAGTGGTGTGGTAAGTAGTTCCGCTTATTTTTATAAGCTCTGCAGCAAGCAAAGTTCAACTTTCTCATCTCATATGAAAGCCATCGCTGGTTCATGCATTATACAACACAATTCGGAGAGAATTAACCATTTCCACTGATTTAAAGTCTTCATTTATTTGAGTGCTATCCAAATTTCGCAGGTTTCACTCTCATATTAAAAAAAAATTGAACTGCTCCGAGTTAGCCGAGTCCATTAAAGAGTACTCATTGAAAGTAATGAAATTTTGTCGATTTACCGGAAAAGGGACCAGGGCAAAAAAATGGCTTCTACTCATGCGGGCAGTAATCGGAGTTGACATTGGAAAGTCACTAGGATCGCTTCCAGAACATGAATCTGACCCTAGCCTCATCTCTCCAGTCATGGGATATGAAACGTATTTCAACGAGATTATGATTCTTTTTGCATAAACCGATGGCGAAAAGCATAATGACGGTTCATTTTCGTGCAGCCGTTCGGAAGAAAAACAAAAAGGTGCTGCTTTGGTGCTAAAAATGACGTTCGCATGCTGTTTATTGTCACATGCGAACAAACCTCAACAATTTATGCCGTAACAGTCTCTGATGATAGAATGGTGCTGGGAGAGGTGGAGGTGCAAGGAGGACTGTTGTCGTCACGAACGTCTTTCTACGATCCGAGCCGTTACTACGTGCTGTGAATAAACGTGCTCTGGTTCGACATCGCCTCGGATTCATCACAAGAGCACAAAAGCGTCTGTAAACTCTCATCTGTTCGCAATAGTTATCAAAATTCAGGACCAGAAAATATTGGATCTTTTCTCTTATACGTTCACATCACACTAATAGACGTTCAACACCCTGAGAACTTTCACAAAACGTCAGGATTTCCTTCCCATAGTAAAAAAAAAAGTGCAATGGTTAATTCTTGAATTATATGCCGAGAATATGTTATGAAAAAAATAGGATGTTTCAAGTAATTAATTTTGTTGCTTGTTTGTTTTCTTTTGTTTTATCGTCTAAGAAACATCAACGAAGAGGATAACTTCGAATCCTGCAGCCAAACCTATACCTACTAACTTGGATACTCGGATGGCACGTCTTCATTGTGTGGGCACCAGCATAATTTTCACTTTTCGGAGCCTTGTTGGTTTAGCTATTGTGGTTCCTTGGAATCCCGAGGTCAGCTTAGCCAAAGCCTTGCCCAGGTCGTCACCATCACAGGCAGCCGCAACTCTTGAGGATAAGAGGGAGATTTGCGAGCACGCGGCTTGTTTGATACCACTACGGTGGTGGAACCTGGTGTTGGTTTACTCCTACCTTGGTTTTCTGGTGGAAGCGCTGGACTCCTCAGTTTTGCCGGCCCTGATGGAGGTATGAATCCCCACTGCACATCGCAGGCCGGCACCCAGAAACACCTCCCAGCTACGATGATGCGGTGAACCCCTAGGAGGAACCAGTACCATATAAGCAGGAAGTAGATATTTGTCGTCATAATCATCGATCGGTGGTGTCCGGTAAGTCATTTAGGCAAAGTACGAAATATAGGGAAAAATCATATATATTGCAGAACAGCTGTGGCTCATTGAAATGGTGAGAATGAGCTCCTTAAATCGTTTGCGACAAAGTGTGCCATATATGGAGCAGAGGGCTATTGTTCTTTTGCACTCAAATGTGTTTATATTATTATTTATTTACATATTATTGTGACACTGCATTTACATACTATTGCAGTTTTAAGCCTACAAACTGGTGTTGTGTTTGCATATGCTTGTTCTCCATTGGGTTTTGGAAAAGTGAGATCTGAAAGTTCAGTAAAATAGGAACGACGTCTACAACTCATCGTCAAGGTGTTGACGTTAATCTCAGTATCACAGAAAAACAAATCAGTAGCCGAAAGTTAGTGAAAGGAATAGGTTACATTGATAACATGAGGCAAATAGGGCTCATAAGCTCTACTACGTTGCTATCGCCGTCAGTTGGAGGAAGCTATTTTATTGCTTCTCGAGATATCCAAAACCTCCCAGAAAATACTACATTCGAGTTGGCGGAACCATGAAGCAAATAAAACGAACGATTTCATATCAATTATACTTTCGTTGTGGCTATAGCCATGGCGAGAAAAAAAGTGCCACGCTACTTCAAGCAAGCTAATATCCACACTGAGAACTTTCCCAATTTTGAGTCAGTCGAGAACTTTGTGTAATTTATTAAAGCTTACTCAAAGCCTGCTGTTTTCCAAGCTTATCAGATCCGTTATCACTCGACACCATGCTATAAATCTTCGTTCCCTCACTTTTTTTTCATCTGTGAGAAAAATGTGGCTCACCTCTGTGTCGTCCATCTACTTGAATCACCTCGACTGTGTAGCCTGCTGTCGTTGACTTCCTCAGAAATAAACGAATTCGGCAAGCTCACACCGCTACTGGTGTTTGCTAGCTTTTGTGGAGAGACGAACGCTTAAAAAAGAAGGAATCATGAAGAACACTCCTCTAAGATAACGATAAGATTAAAGACGACCAACAAAAATTCGAAAATCAATCAATATGCATCGTCTGCAGTGCGCGAAAAACAACTTTCCTAATATGAGTAGCATCTTTTCATTGATTTCTGACGTTTTGATGAATTAAATTTACAAAAGTCGAAATCAGTTAGACAATTGAAGACAAATCATATTTGTTTCGCAAAGGAACGTATTCGAATTGAAGAATTCTCGCCCTCAACTTCCCATTCATGATGAGCGCTCAGTGGTGATTATGAGTACGTCGTTTTCTTACCGTTAACCAGTTCTGACGATGGCGACGACGACATCGCCATCGGCTGGTGCCAATTATCGGTAGTTGTCGGTTCCTCGTCGGATTCGCCAATAATCACAAGTGATTCAGGCGGCCGTATGATTCGTGGATCTGGCGTTGTACGAATGCGGTGATGAATTGACTATAAGAAGATGTCACAGAGTTAAAAATACGTCTTAGATGGAAAATTTTCTGAATAAAAAATCGCGAACGAATCATATTAATAATGGAAGATTGCAAACATTTCAGATCATTGACGAAACTAACATCTTTCGAGAACTTCGAATCGCTGCTATTATTGAATGGCTTCAGTTTTTCACTGCGATTTATCGGAAAAGTCATTACAATCTATACCTTGATAACTGTTGAGTGAAGTGTCGGAACTGATGTCGATTGGAATCGAGAGGTTGGTTTGTCTATGTTCGAGATACTGTCGATGTTCGGCTCAAACGGTATCAGTGTCGGAAATCCGGTGAACGGCGACTGTACGAGCGACGTCACTGCGAAGGGTGTTTGTGTTGACGATTCTTGCAGATGCTCCACCATCGGTGTCGGTACGGATGGTCGAGAGAGTTGTACGAGACCGTCACGAGCATGAGGAGGCGGCGTCATCGATTCCACTTGGAATCTTGAGATCGGATCTGGATTGTGAACAAACGTTAATAAAAACGAACAACAGAATCACTTATGGAGTTTCTTATTGAATTTTTGATCTAATAAGGTAGAGCTAAGTATCCATGGAGACGTTTTGGATGGCAACAGTGAAATGATTTATCAAAAAAGGAACAGTACGAGAAACAGTATGTTCGCTCGATTTTGAATTGCTTCTCCTAAATAAGAAGCTTTAAATAAAGTGATACGACAAAGGTTTTTTCTAACGTGTCTCAAATTCCTGAAAAGAATGAGAATTATCTGAAAGTATTGTAGCCAAGGAATAAGGCAGTCGTCTGTGTAGTACAAATAAGGAGTTATGGAGATGAATAAAATCGCTTCAAGAATACTGTAGTTGAAGAGAATTTCTCTAGCTGTCTTATAAAATTTTACACAAATGAGAGCTGGTTAGCAAAACTAGGGAAGGAGACGATGCAAACCAAAAATCAGTCAATGTGTCGATCGTAACACTTCACCAAACTGAGTTTCCTTCAATCTCAGCATAACTAATCAATATGTATGTGACGTTTTCTTGTTCAGCAATCGCGAGGCTTTTAAACAGCATACATTTACTTCCATAGAAAAACACAATACAATATAACACTAGCTGACGTTTCGGAAGTATCGCCTTCTTCAGAGCCTAGAAGGGTATACTGATATACAATGTACTAGGCGTAAAAGGCGTTGGAAGTCACGTAAAAAGCGGTGGGTTTTTCGAGAAGTTGTTGGTCGTGTAATTATCGGAGAGTTTTTCGTCTTTTTGTAAGTGTTATTGAAGCGTTTGGCCTAGTAGATTGTATATCAGTATACCCTTCCAGGCTCTGAAGAAGGCGATACTGCCGAAACGTCAGCTAGCGTTGTATTGTATTGTTTTTATGGAAGTAAATGTATGCTGTTTAAAAACCTCGTGATTGCTGAACAAGAAAATGACACATTCATATTCCAATGCCAAGGTTATTAAAAAGTCGATCCTGGGAACTAATCAATATGTATTCTTTGTCTGATGAGCTTACACGAAATTGATAAACAGTCTTTATTCTTCTAATATTTCAACGCCTTCTTCTTAATTAGAGCTGATGATCAGAGCCGATGGCCCACAGTTGTTCGTTTTCTCGATTATGTGGTCGCTTTTGTATCGAGTCGGATCTTCTTCATCTCTTGAATGGGGCATTCGCAAACGGAGACGCTCCTTTTTACTGGAAGCTGACAATCACTATTATCAATAAGGCAATCTACACAAAAGAGCGTCGCCGGGTGAGAATGCTTTATTCCATAGATGCTCCACTAAGGATGATTCGACTCGATACGAAGACAATAACGCTACATCAAAAAGACGAACTATTGCAGACCATCGGTTCTGATGAATGGGAAGAAGATGAAATGTTAACCGAATAAAGATTGTTTATCAATTTCGTGTAGGCTCATCAAAGAAAGAACACGTAGCAATGTGGCATTTGTTTTAAATACGAAAATATAGTTAGCATTTGGTATACCTGAAGGATATTTTGTGGACATAAGCTGCTTCTTACCGAATTTTTGGTAGCTTCATAAAGATGAGTTAATCCTTAACAATTTCTCTGAATAGTTAGAAAAAGTAGCACAAAGGTTCTGCAAGAATGGAGAATGGAGGTGCTCATAAAACTCATCATGTTTCATTTGCAATTCCTCATTCTTATTCAGTAATCGTGATGCCTATAAGGAGCTTAGTGTTGTTCCATTCGTTTCGTACAGTTCGGTTAAATGATTGAAGAAATGGTCGTCCTTCTAGAAGAATCCTCTTATAAAGATGTAAACTGGCACATCGGATGTACAAGAAACGACGATAACCAAGCGCGACAAAAGTTCCAGAACACTTTGCCCAGGGATTTCAGTGTGGACCACACGCATCGAATAGATTTCAACACATGGATAAGAAGTGGAGTTGACGGAGCGTCAAGCTATTGTTGAAGCATTACATGAACTCAGTTTCCTTCAATGACGATGGCACAAGAAAATGAAACAAATGCAAGAAACCACCGACTACGAAGTCCGATTTTCATAAGCATGTCCTTTTACGCTTATACCGGCTGGTTCTTCTCGACTTCAGTGATGCAGTCGTTTTCGCAAAAGTCACAGGTTATCCACCAACAAACGCAAAAAAAGCAGTTAAAAAACTGCCTAATAAGAAAGTGACTAACGAAACAGGATCAATTTTGTTAGAATTGTTTGTTTCTTCAAAAGCAATCGTTGTTGTTCAACAGTAGGCTTTCTTTGCGCGTCGAGTTCCGGTTTTCTAACTTCTTTCTTTTTTAGAAGAATAGGTAGGAATTATAAATCATTACGACATATTTTATAGCTATTAGACAGGACCAATGCATAACTTTTTCTACCTACAATTCATTTACAATAGCTGACGTTTGGGCGGTTTCACCTTCTTCACAGCCGTTTTTTCTCTTTTCCGTTATTTGGTAGAAAACAGCTGCACAGCTGCATAGAAAGTCGGCCTTGCGACATGCTACAACTTCCTTATTGCTTATTTATTTTCATAAAGCACTACGAGCTGCCAATGAATTACTGCCTGATTGCAGCTGGAAGTTTTCAGGGTGTCAAATCAACGCGTACAATGGGACCACAGCAGGGAATCCCTAGGTGGGGAAAAATTTGACATTCTCACCTGGAATCCTAGCCTAGAGCAAGCCTATACTACGACAGATTCTTTGCCTACTCTCTAGAATCATATAATTGTGATCAGAAAACGTCTTTCTCGACTACGTTGTAAAAATAAGGCGAAAGATCAGTGTAAAACAAGTAAAAACAGTATCACAACTAGGAACATCCGCAGAGAATATTTCCGACCTTGGTCACTATCCAATAGTTTAAACAACATTTCAGAAAATTTTTCCGCCAATTACTATCTATTCCTCGATAGTCGACTATGTATACCTTGAGCTAAGCACTTAGTATCGGAACGGGTGTAGTCCTGTGGTTCAGTGGTATCCTGGAATACACAGTGGCTTGGCCCCTAGTTTGACCCGCCCTCAAGGTTCATCAAGCTTTTAATGCTTTCGACGTTGGCAAATTGCTACCAGTCGTGAGGGAGATAAAAACACTGACTTGATACATCGGCAGATCACCGCAATTCATTGTACAGGCCAAATATGCATTCAGTCAACTCTACGATGCCTAATAGGATCGAATGCATGCGCGAGTTCCTAAGAAGATGATTGACGTTGAACGGCCTTTATTTCATCACAGTTAGCCTTATGATCTGGTTTAGAAAACTTGTTGGCTCTACTCCATCTCTGATTTATGATGTATTGGTACTTAGCTTAACTCATGCATATAGATGCATCGAGTTATGCACAAGCCATTCCTAGACATGGTGTTTCCTCTTTTTTCCTTTTGTTGAGTACGATTGTCGTTTTTTGAATAGAAACAAAACAGTGTTAAGATGATGCCAAGTTTTAAGAGCAGCAGACGCCCGTCTTCATCGATGGAAGAATGTTCTGTTTCGCTTAGCACTAGAATCATCTTTTGAATGCAGCGATTCAGCGACGACAACGTCTTTCTCGATATTTCTGGGAATTAGGGAAGCACCAATAAAGAAGAACGATTTGAATGCAATGAATAAAAGCCATAAAGTAATAATGTCAATGTGGCTTAATAGTTGCAATATATGATTTTGCTATTGCATTGGTGATCATTGTAATGACAATAGAACTAGAGGATAAAGGATTTTACGCAAAAACGAAAAAACCGAATGGTAACGGTACTGTGAAGAGACTGACTTTGTACGCCGCACTTTACGTCCTTGCACTGTTCTGCGCAAAGGATGCGCACTCTTGAAGTGCAACAGAACGCCACGTCCACACGTCGGCATTCAAAAATCGCCCGTCGAATGATGTCGGTTGTGGAGTCGTCGATTATCAGAAGAGCCGTCAACAACGTCAACTTCATGCTAGTTCCAGCCAGAAAACCTTCACTACCGTACCTAAACGTTCGGCTTTACACTCATCAAAACAGCGCCATATGTAAAAATCTATAAAATTGTGTGTTGTACAAATGAGAAAAAATGTTGGATATCCATGTGCTGCAGTGCAGAACTTCCTCCACGAGCCGAAACTCATGTCTAAGGTAATTAGGTCTTAGCCTAGTAAGCAGTTTGATAAGGAAGGCTATCGATAAATTTAAAAAGGTTGCAAAGGAGAGCAGATTAGCAGTTAATGTGTCGATAAAGCAAAACGGTAGGTACACCAAATGAATTTAAGGTTTTTAAGGCTAGTGAAGTAATGATGGAGATGCAGAGCTCGTGAAGTGTAATGGTAGACATGCTCTGCAATACACCTGTGGTCGTTCGTTAGATTCTGCGTCCAAGACGAAGCAAACCTTTTCTCTATGAGAGCTAGTGAATTTTTACCAAGCCATCCAAAACTATAAAAACATTGGAAAGGACTATACGAGATATAAACTTTTAATCGCATGCTTAAGTTAAATTTGGCCGGAATAAAAGAGAACATTCCGTTTTCTAGAATTCATGGGCTAGATGGGGCATCCCTAAAAGATCTCATATAGTGAGAAAAGCCTTCGCCTCAATAAATACTAGCAAAAAAATCGAGAAAACAAGATAAAGAAAACACCATGGCAAGCGCTGTGAGTCAGTAAAAAGCCACCATATTGTGGATAATCAGTTGACAATCAATCATCATCTCTCATTACACTAGTTCTTACCGGTTTGAGATCAATGAAAACGAGGCGCTGGCACAGCGTTGTATTCTAACACAATTTGAAACAGTAAAAGAGTGATTTGAGCCAGAAAAAGTGGAATAGTGAGAAATTCATTAATCTCTTTTTAAGAGCTAAGCATTAAAAATTGTTTAAGGAGTTTCCACGCTGCTGTAAATTTAACTTTGAGCTAAGTTGGCATTTTCAGTACTTTTAGTGAGTACGGAATTAAATTTGTAAATAGATAAAAATCGCGATTAAATGATGTTAAGAGGCAGAAATGTGGGATTAGAATATAGAAGTCACTTCAGGCTTCACGTCATGTTTCACAGCGATGTTTACAATGAAAAAAAAACAGATTAGAACATCTTTATTAAGAAAAAAAATCGACAACACCTTCCTAATTTGGTAATCTAGAAGACATTTTTTTATACTTTACGCGATTTGACATAACATATTATATTGTGCTTAACCAAGCGCTTTGGCATTCGATTCTTTTCTCGCATCCACCATCCACAATGCTCTTCAAGCATTCTTCCGTGCTCTTTCGGCTGTCACTTGAGGATATTCACTTTGCTTATGAATGTTGTTCAATCCCAATCGAGTCGATTTGTCCTAAATCCTAGGATAGACGTTTTATGTCTTTAATGTAGATGAGAGGAATTCAGCTGGTCCCGGATATTTCTGGTGTGAGTTTCTCGAGCCCGGAAAGATGGAAGGCTTGGTGAACACAGACATGAAATCAGCTTCGTGCTCGCCATTAACGACATCACTGCTACTACACCACCCGTAGTCTAATTCTAAGAGAGCTATACAAAAATGTGAACACGGAAGTCGCAGTGAATACAGATTGTGTTGAATAATAAGCGCGAGGTCTTTGTTTTACACTTCCAAGGGCAATGAAAACTTACATCCGTCCAAGGTCGAAAAATTGGCGTCAGACTTCACTAAGGGAAACTCTTTCCCGTCCACAAAGTTTGATGAGCGCCAATGGCAAGATTCAGCGAAGGCTGTAGTACAGGGTTCTGTGAGGAATCGACTGAAACATTAAACGACATTCACGAGAACAACCAAAATCTTCAAGCAAAAGTAAAACTCGAAAGCAAAAGTTGGTTGGTAGTTGGTGAGAGACAGCTAATTGAATGAGAGCAATGCTGGAATTTGAATAAAATGTGACGGCGTTCCATGAAAAGTCACTCAGTGATGAAAGTTTGGTTTCCATATAATATATTTCGAAAATGGTAGGAATGTATGAGCACTAGAATTACCGAGAAAGCACCCTATCAATACAAATAAAAAAAAATTCGAAAATTCATAAGTAACTGACACCCACAATAAGTTCATTTCTCAACTGGTGGATTTAATTTTAGAAATGCGGAATTTCTACACAGAATGAATACGCTTGAAACTCTACAGAGCCCAGTGAGATTCACCTGAGCATCTTCTCGCTTTGAATATTAACGTAGAATAAAGGAACCCGTGTACTCTTTCATTCCATTGATAAGGTAAAGTGGGACTGGCAAAGAACCTAATCAGCTAGCGTTTCATTTGTAAAGTTTTTTACTAAATTATCAAACTCGTGTTAGCTTATAAAACTCTAAATCTCTCGGCGTTGATCAATCGCTAAGGGATGGGCTACGCATCAAGCCTCGTTTGGAGGTGAGTGAATGCATGCATATCTAGCCTTTACAATTACTCGCCATGGTCTACCATGTATCGAGCCAGTGCTGCTATCCTCTCAGACAATTCTTGTACTAATCTACCGTCCCAGGAGGGATGAAAGGCTTGATGGGCCATGGACGCAAGTATCGATTTCACGTGTGTGTTGCAGAGCGTCTCCCACCACTGCGCCACACGCGCCCTTAGTCTTAGCTTATGAATGAAAGAATACATTTTGATTATTTATACTGGAGTTAAAAAAAGTCACTTTGTGAAGAAGGGGTCTATCTCAAAAATGGAGCCTTTTCCTGGTCACACGAGTAATGTTCACTCACTGAGCTATTTGAACTGCAATGGGAACCCATAAGGACTCCACTTATATGCTCTCTGGTATGAAGCAATGACTAACGGTGTTAGAAATCGTGAAGAATGTAATATTGATAATGAGGATGACAGGCACAGTGATAATGATGATTATGATACTGAGATCATGTTTACAGCATAATAGGACTCAGGTCGATGGCCAAAAAAAATTAGCTTATAAGCCAAACTTGACGAGAAAGTGATGACATTCTAGCGATTTCACCGTAACAACCGACCGCCGCCCTCAAGGATGGGCGGTCAGCGATTGTCGAAACTAAAATGGAACAAATTCGTACGATCTACCATAAAAAACCAGGAATGATTCACATCAAAGTAATCGTGTCCTAAAAGTTGTAAAATCCTAAAAACCATTTCAGTATTTAACAAACAACAGATTGCATTTATATTTTTTTATACCTGTCAATAGAAGTAAAATTGATACGGCTCAGAATTATTTATGACTTTAAATTGGCTCCGGGAGTTAGTACGAAAGCAAAAGGAAAAAGAATTACCGTGGTCACATTTTGGTGAAATAATAAACGAAGGATGACGGGGAAAGATAGGCAGCTTGGGGTGTGTATATGGCAGTGGTTAGCAGTCCCTTGAAATATACACGTGGACCTTCATTTAAAACGCCGCCGCGGGTTAACCAAGCTCGTCATCTCTTAGACTCGGGTAAATTAGTATGACGTGTGTCAGGAAAGATAGAAAGAATGACTTGATGCAGATCTGCAAACCACTATATGATCAAATGTGCACTCAATCACCTCCACGGTGTTATCAATAAAGCCGAATGGAAAGTGCTTCTTTAAGGGTCGATAAACGCCAAATACCTCTTTACTTTTATTCCAAATAAGTGAGGTCAAACTTCCAACACCGGGAAGATTTTGTTTTTTCGAATCCTATACATTGCCTATAGAAGAAAACTGGTATAGAGATGGAAGATGCTAACTGGAAAATATTTAGATGCTGTAACGCTACTTATAGGCGAAACCGGCGAAACGAAGGACCCGCATGGTGTGGCGGTGAACGCGTTAGCCCCTGAAAAGGGTAATAGCGCGTTCGTTCTCTACCGCAGACACCTGCAGTCCGCAGTTTTGCAAATATCTCAGCATCATGGTGGTTGGACAATTATAGGATTGATTAATAAAGGTCGTCGTTGAAATATGTTTGCAACCGCTTTTAGTAAGAATAGGAAGGATGCGAAACCGAAAAAGCTGTAGGTTATTTTTAAAAAAGAAAAAAGTTGACAAGTAGTGATGATCCTTTATTTCCATGCTATCAAAACGGCAGTAAAAAGAAACGATAAATAGTTTTTTTTATAATATGTCAAAAAAAACTGCTACGACCGAACCGGATCCTCGGTACACGAACAACAAAACCTTTTGCAGCTTCTAAACAATGTGCTGTAAAAACCCCCTTCGAAGAGAATTCAATGAGGCCAAAAATCGGTCATTCTACGGGAACCAAACCATTAAGGCTGAAGATAACTCAGACTCTACGGGGAACTACCTAGTGCAACAATCATCAGGGTGACTAGTATTGCCTTGAATTGAACGGGTTCGCTTAGCGCCATGATCACCGCCTTAATGAAATTAATCAGGTGGAAACGATTGTAATCCGACATCGCCCAAGTTTCAACTTTGTTTGAAGGTTTTTTAAGTCTTGTGAACAAATTTAAGAGAACAAGAAAGAAATAAAGCACCCGGCATTGATCCATCCTAAAGCGATACGTATGGATTCGACTCCATTTGTAGGATCGTGAATACATATTTGGTCTACACAATGACTTGAGGTGCTCTACTGATGTAATAAATCTATGTTGCTATTTTCTCAGAGAAGCTTGGTAGTAATTTTCTGAGCTGGGTGGGTGGAACGCAAAGGGTAATTAGGCATGCTCTCCAACTATCGACCGATTCAGTGTGTTTGTAGTCCCTATAGGGAGACTCTGATCGCCACGGTGCACGTTCAAGATCTTCTAATCAGGTAAACAAATATTATATAAGAAATACTTCGTGGTATCTGAGATGATAAGAGCATTACGGCAACTAGAACGCTTACCATCGCTTCTAACGATATCAGGTAGAATATGACGTTTATTCATTTTGAGATGACGTTAAGAGAAACAGTTGAGTTATGAGTGAAGAATGACGTTCACCTTGATCAGATGTCGATCCAAACCAGACACGGTAGTGTAACTGATGGCGAAAAAC